CGCTGGGTCCATTCTCAACAGCAGCTCTCTCTTTTCAAAAACCGGGGGAACTATTTTATTTTGGGTAAGTTTTACTAGTTGTTTTTAAATAGAGCCCCTCCCAGCCCCCCTCCCCTCCAAAGGCAGTGATGCAGAGAGGACGGCTGAGGTTGGGGGTGTCCAGGGAGTGGAGTTAGAGGCCTGAGATGACCAGTGGACACATCCCCATGTCGGGTTCTCCGCGTCCTGAGCACACAAAAAAGGCCCCATTGTAGCGGGAGGCCTGCCCTATGGCTCCCGTGTCCTGGGAAAGGGGTACACACAGGGCTGCAGCTGTGACCCCCACCACCTGGCAGAGAGGAGACCCAGACCCCAGCTGCCTACAGAGACCCCAGTGCAGTTTCCTGGTCCTTCAAACTCGCCGGACTCTACCTAAACCCACAACACCCTCAGAGGGCACCAAGACCCCAAAGCCAGCCTGGACTCCTCCACGTCTGTCGTCACCTGCCCAACTACCTCACAGGAAGGCCGCCCTCCAATGGGAGCCAGGCGGAGCCACTTCCGGCTCTCTGCTGCACCCAGGGACCCACAAAGCCTGGTCCCCGCCTCCAGGCCTCCACAGCCCCAGGGGCCTCACAGGGCCTCTCTGCCACCCCAGCCTTCCCACCCACCCACCAACCCACTCCTGACGGGCAGGACTCACGCACCCACCTGCCTGCACACACACACCCACACATACACACACTAACAGACACAGGCATACATGCAGGCACACATACATTCACACTCAGACACATGCTTACTAACTCACAATCACACACGCCTGCCTGCACACACACTCACGCACTCACTAACATTCAGACATAGGCTCACACAAGCTAACACTCAAAGATACATAGTAACTCACATTCACATGCCTGCCTGCACTCACATACACCCATGCTCACTAACAGACAGACACACTCACATGCACACATTCAGACACGGTCACACCTCACACATACTAACATTCAGACACATGCTCACTAACTCACATTCACACTCACACGCCTGCCTGCAGTCACACACACACACTTGCTCACTAAATCACATCCACACACTTACACAAGGCTGTAAACTCACATCTTCATTGATGCTCAGACACATGTGCCTGCACGCTTACACACACACACATGCTCATAACACGGTACAAGCTCACTAACTCACATTACACACATACACACATGCCTGCATGCACTGATATTCAAACACATGTGCCTCCACACGCACATGCTCACTAACATTCAGATACATGTACACAATGTTCACAACCACTCAGACACTATTCACACCTGCACACTTAGATATTCACATACGTACACACATGCCTGTGCACACATCTACATGCTCACTAACATTCACACACATGCCTTCACATTCACACACACATGCTAATCCAGACACACGTTCATGCACACATTCACACACATGCTTGCACAGGCAGACACATCTTCAAGAAATGCCCACATTCGCTCATTAACACACACAAATGCACAAACACTAACACATTCCCTGCACATCCACACATAACACACCTAGACATGTGTTCACTCACACATGCTCACTAACATAGGCATGTTTATTCACATGCTTATACCCATACCTGCACATTTGTACATGCAGACATTAATAGACACATGCTCCACACTGTGTACCCTCATTCACACACATGCAGTATGTGCTCACTAACACACATGCTCATTTACACTCTGACACATGCTCACACAGAGACACTCACCTGCATGCCCCCTCACACCCACCTACTCCATGTCAGGTGCACACGCTCACACACTGCTCACTTATTAGGTGCTCAGACATAACACGTGCACGTTGTACAAGTGCGTGCCTGCTCACATGCACATTCACACACCACGTGACTCTCTGCCCACCTGCCTCAGACCTACTGTCCTGTCACCGGATCCCCAGGGACCCTCTGCTCCCATGCCCAGGGTCCCTTCTGTCCCCCTCAGTCACCCCAACGCCCGTGACCTCCCCACAATCCACCAGCATGTGCACTGCGGTGGCAGCCGGGCGCAGCACAAACAGCAGGAAGACGGGGAAACCTGGTGAGGGCCGCCGCCAGGAGCCATGGGCTCGGGGCTCGGTGACCTGTACAGGAAGCCGGCCGGCATGCAGTGACTCCGCGTCCCTCCCACGGGTCCATCCACAAACCGCACGGCCAGCCCAGCCCTTCGCTCACTCAAACAGGACCAGGGAAAAGGCTACCTGCACAGAGGGCCAACACGCATGGCCTCCGCGCCCCCAAACCAGCCCAGCAGACCTCTTGGTCCACGCAGCTGCCCCCTAGCTCTCTGCAAACAGGACCCGTCTGAGGGGCGGGGGTGGAGAAGGCAGTGTGAGCGGATGTGTTTCCCTGCACTGCCCACTACAGGGAAGGCGATGCACACGGGTTCGGAACCGCACATGCTGGGAAACCGCTTCAGGCAAGAACTCGGACGAAAAGCACTTACATGCCTCAGATGGTAAACACGCGATCCAAAGACCGGCTGCGCCCTGCACCGAAGCCTGCACCGAGCGGAAAGGCTTCTACCTTCGAAAACTCGATTCAGCACCAAGGGGGATGAACTCACTTCCAGAGGGTCAGCCAAGAATCAAACTCTCACCCCAGCCCGGCCTCCGCCTGACCCACCCACCACCCGCAGCCAGGGGCACAGCGTAGGGGAAGCCCCTCGAAATGCTACAGTGGACAATAGCAAGACCTAAAACGGGCGGCGCACAGCTGGAGGCGGGCGGCACCAGCTGGCACCCATCCTGCAACTGTTCACAGTTTAAAAACCCCAAAGCAAGCAGCCAGGAGAAAACTTCCGGTCCAATTCCAGAGCAACCAGGTGGGCAGGGCAGAGGGGGAGCTGTAGTGGGTTTCCAGGGCAGTGGACCCAGGAGGACAGGCTGCTCCCTGGGGACACCGGCACATCAGACAAGCGTGATGAGAAATTCAGAACTGGAATGTGAAGCCGGGTCCGTCGGTCTGTCTGCCAAGAGAGTAAGCGAGCGTCAAAGTCTGTCCAGCAGCAGCGCAGCCCACGTTGGCAGCCGACGGGCCACAGAGCCGGCCTCCGGAGGTCTGAGCCTGGAACCCTGCGAAGGCACGGGGGCAGAAGCAGGCACGCCCAACACCAGGTCAGCACCCACCAGTACAGCTCCAGAGACGCCCAGAGCACACCAACGTGCAAGCTGGACCTTCAGCACCTCCAAAGGGGCGGGGGTCACCGAAGATTAAATTACAAATTGTGCAAAAGCTACTCTCACTGGTGGCCAGTCAGTTCTAACTCACAGAGAGCAGGATAGAAATGTCCTTGTGTTTCTGAGACAGAATATCTTTATGGAAACAGAAAGCCTGTCTTCCTCCCTCAGAGCAGCTGCTGGATTCGAACAGCTGACTCTGTGGTTATCGGCTCAGCGTGGGACCCACCATGCCACCTGGGCTCCCTTACAAATTGCTAGAAGAGTTTAAAATCGCAGTGTCAAAATATGAAAACCCTTAAAGTAAAACAAGTAACATTGAGAAAGAAGGGGTGGGGGCGGGGGCAGAGGAACTATTTCAGATAAATAAAATCACCAGTGGGCTAGTTATGAGTTAACCACAATTAATCAGATAAAGGAGCAGCAGGCCTACTTAAGGGCAGGGGGATGGGGTGACCAGCAATTACGAGTAACAAATACCAATGAAAACTTAACATGGTAATAATTTCCTAAAGCAGAGGTCAGTGTGCAACACCACACATACACACACACACACACACACACACACAGGTGGGGGGGGACTAGAACATGCCAAGGGCTGCCAACGCCGATGCCGACACTTAATTCCACATCATAGGCTGTAGCACAAATGCTTACAATTGCCAGGAGGCGGAGTAGTTCTTTTCCAAAGGAACTTGGGAACTTCTAAGCCCAGAACCTAGATTCCAGGTCAGCACATTTAGAGCCGGGCTGGGGGGGGATAACTCCTTCCTGGTAGAACATGAAAGTCCACAGTGTGCTCAGGAACACCTGCAGAGGGAGAGACCGTGGGCCAGGAGTCAGGTGAGCCGCCCATGGTACACACGGCCAGCTCACAGGGGAACGTTGCTCCACTTTTAAGCAGTGAGGTGTTCACAGGGGAGTGGGAGGGAGGGGGTGGACGCTGAACCTTTCTGGGCAAGAACGATGGGGGAGGGGGGAAGGGGGGCCTGCAGTCCAGCAGCAG